TTTTTGGTGGAGCGTTCAGTTTGCTTGGGCAACACAGCCATCTGCCAGATTACTCACCCGAGCACCTCCGGCAGTGCCAGAAGGCCCCAGTGCCAGCAAGCAGTCTGAAAAAGATCCAAGACTGTCACGAAGATCTGAAATCCCATGGGAAACCGGGGGGAGAGCAGGGAACAGAGCAGCCACAAGCAGACGCACGGCATTTTGTGCTCGTTAGCGTTTCCTGGGCCCAGTAATGGCACCAGTGAGTGGGGCCATGGACCAGCCAAGACCACAGAAGGTACCACCTGAGGCTGCTGCTGAGGGAGAGTTCACCATCGTCAAGGAACCCAAAAACACAGCTCAGACTGATCATTCACAGGTATGTATTCTTCACCAAAGGAGACTATCAGGGCTGAGAATGCCTTCTTCCCCTTTCCATCAGCTTCGCTGCGCTGCTGCCATTCGGCTGCTGAGACTTGATCTAATCAATGCTCATATAGGGAGGTTTGTCTGACCTGGAAGACGATGATGTTGAATATGGCTGCTGAGACTTGATCTAATCAATGCTCGTATAGGGAGGTTTGTCTGGCCTGGAAGACGATGATGTTGAATAGGTCTATCAAATTTGTCAGTGTCTTCGCTGACAATTTTCATGAATATGTAACACTGAAATATGGCTCATCCATGCTGACTTATTTTTATAGTGCTCAGACTGGCTTGAAAAAAATCTCTGTAATTTGATAATGAGAAAGGATAAAATCAGTTAGGGGGATAATTGCTAATATCCAGATCTTAAGGAGGGAATATAAATATTGAAGAATAAAAATAAATAGGCAAATGAATAAACAAGATGAAAACTCCTTGATTGCTTAGACGCTGAAAGCAAAAATGCCACCGACACAGCCAACTTCTTTACGCATATAACGGGGAAATTCAAGAAAACATCAATCACGTGACTTTCAGCTCAGACACGACATTCCAAAACATACATTACTCTTAAAATGTTTAAAAATGCTCCCTTGTGGAAACTGCAAGATAAAGTGTATTTCTATTGGGTTTGCGGGAAAAATCCCACCCATTCATTTATTGACTAAGACCAAATCTTCTTTCACAAACTTGACCAATGTCAACGATCTGCCATTTGTTGAAAAGAGCGAAAATCCCCCCCCTGAGTCTGACAAACACTTTGGGGGTTCAGAAAAACGAGAGGCCAGAATTGCACAACAGAGGGACACAACCACAGGCGCGTGGAGACGCGGTCCCGACCCGTATGGCACGCACAGCCCCGGCGAACCCTCGGAGAAGGGCCACCCACGGCTCACTCGTCCCACGGTTCCTTTGCTGGGAAAGGGGACGCTGCTTGGCGGGGGCCTCTGACATCACTCGGAGTAAATTTTAAACATCACTAGAGTAAATCTTGCCTGCGTGAAGTAAGAGCCCTTAAGAAACCAAGGCGATGCAAAATTGATGCAAAGATTTACGCTCCAAAGGAACGAGTACTCTCGGTTTTGCAAACCGAAAGATTTGTGCGTTCTTTGCAGGTATCAACGGGCTTGAAAGAACAGGAGGGAGCAAAGACACTGATTCAACAGCCGGTTGGAATAGCTCAAGATGAAAAAAATCAGCTGGGTGTCGGGACTTGCGGCTGTTCGCAAAGCTGCCGCCTTCCTGGGACCCCACGCTGAGCGCGCGGGGGTGTTCACGGAAAAACCCGCACCGCTCTGCTCCCACCATCTCTGCTAAGAGCGTTTGGCACTGCCGCATTAGCATAATTGACAACATCAATTATGCCCACTGCTATTTTCTCCCCCTGGGAAAGTCAGTCCATACAAGTCAATGTTTTTAAAAGCGTGGAGTGCTGGCGGTCTCGGCGCTTTTAGTGCCATTAAACGGTAGAGAACAGCGGTATTCTCTGGAAAGGCGTGGGCTCGGGGAAATGGCTTCGGAGGCACGACGGCTGAGGAACTGCTGCTTTTTCACACCAAGCTCCCCACGGTCAGGGCAGCATTTCTCTTCCGAAGAGAGGAAGAGGGAGATCTCTACTGGAGAGAGTCCAGCGGAGGGCTATGAGGATGATGAGGGGACTGGAGCATCCCTCCTACAAGGAAAGGTTGATGGAGCTGGGCTTGTTCAGCCTGGAGAAGAGAAGGCTGAGAGGGGACCTTAGAAATGCTTATCAATATCTGCAGGGTGGGGGTCAGGAGGACGGGGCCAGACTCTTTCCAGTGGTGCCCAGCGACAGGACAAGGGGCAACGGGCAAAAACTGAAGCAGGAGATATTCAAGACCCGCCTGGACGCGGTCCTGTGCAGCCTGCTGTAGGTGACCCTGCTTGGGCAGGGGGTTGGACCAGATGACCCACAGAGGTCCCTTCCAACCCCGACCATTCTGTGATTCTGTGAGATATGAAGGTGGGAAAAAAAGTATTCCTATAATAGCCACCATCAAATGTTTCTGCACTTGAAAGAACGTGAAGACAGCACGGAGCTTCCCGCCTGGAAAACGCTGAAGCCTGAATGTTCACCGAGTTTCAGTTCTCAACTGCTGTCTTCCTTTTCACCAGCTGTTTCCAAAAGGCTGGAGTTGTTATGGATTTTGGATACCGCAGACCCTTTTCCCTAGGGACTCCTGGCAGGTTTACGCCACAAACGTGTGGGAACACTGGAGGCATGCGGATCGCCCTGTATGAACTTACAACTTTGACCCAACATGCTGTCACCGTAGGTAAAAATTAAAAATTTCAGCAAGAATAACAGCTAGGTGCATGAAAAAGAAGACATCAGCTGGTGCAAGCGACTGTGGCTCAGGGTAGATCCATGGATGGCACCCGATGAGACCCACCCAGGGGACACAGTCGCTGCCCTCGAGAAGCCCATTAGGGCCCGAACCCTACCAGAAGCCTCGAGGAGCTGCTTGCTCAGATGCAATGTTGGTGCCTTTCCGTGCCCAAGAGGTATCTACTGGACCGCACCGCTGATTTAGGAGGTCTCCATCCCTCCCCACAGCTCTAGGAGAGTTAAGTGCCCTGCCTCCTTGCCACACGTCCTCGTCACCTCTCAATAGACCTTCTGTTCCTGCGCTCCTTCTGACCTCTCGGCACTCGGAGACCATCTCCACCGCAGACCCACTCCTCTGTGCCGTAGATTTGCCTTCCTCCCTGCCTAGTAACCCAGTTTCCTCCTGTGTTCCCTGCTCGACTCCCGACCCCTGACAACGTTTTGCTGCAATCAATTTTCTTCTACCCACCACCTCTCCTCTCAAGCGTGGGCTGAAATATCATCTCTCTTCTAAGCAAGAGATGTTCTCTTCCTCCTGCCCACTGGAGCTGAAGGTGCCTTCTGTGTGCCTCTTCCCCTGTGACCCGTGACTTGGCTTTCCCTTGTCATCGCTGTGATCTCCTCCTCCTCCTCCCTCACCCTCAGCCTGCCTTTCCTCCCTTCTTGTTACAACTCAGTTGCTTCTTGCTAAACGCGCTGTCTCCTCTCTAGTCGATGTGGGTCACCACCATCCTAAAGCTAAACCACACAGCGGCAGAGTAGGACGGGTTGCACAACATCTAAAAAGGGGCTGCAGGCGTTCATCTTGACTTGGGGATCCCAGTGCTCTCCTCGGTTCTCTGGCAAGGAAGATCAAGGATTTAACACAGCACTATTACTTGTCTTCATTTCTAACTTAAAACAAATCATTTTGGCCTACCTGGCCATATCTCCTGCCCATCACAGGACACAAGCTCAGCCCGTCCGGCCTTTTAAGCAAACTGACTGCTGCCTCCCAGAAGAAAGCTGAGAGTAAGCAAAGGGTCTGGGGGAAAGAGACTGAAGACTTTTCTCTCATCGCATGACTCTCTCCTCACCCACGGAAGGGCTCCTCGGCAGCAGCAAACACCTGGACCACGGCTCAGCTTTGATCTTTCGGAAATTAATCCCAGCATTTAGTTTCCATTGGAATTTCTACCCTCCCCGCTTCGTGCTGCAGCCAGCCCCAACACCGAGCACTCCTCCACCTCACCGAGACATCATTGATTCATAGCGCTCTGTTTTAACCATCACACACCGTTTTCAAGTCGGAACAGAACAACCATTTCTAAGGGCTGGGGACCCCACCGGCGCAGGGACGTCTGCACCAAGCACCCTCACGAGCGATGACCGGCCAGATCAGCCACTGTCTCCCAGTAAGAAATGTTAAGACCTGTGAAAGCATCAGCTGGGCTTCCCCTAAGCCAGGAAGCAAGCTGCTCGGGTAAAGCCAGCCATCTGCACCTCCTCTCTCTAAACACTTCCCAAACACAGAAATATCACAAATTTAAGCAACGAATGCATCACCCGGCCCGTTTTCACAAGACCTTCCCCAAGGATCGAAGTCTCGGCGCGAGCTGTGCGTATTTGCGTGCGCACACACACACATCCAATTTCTAAAGCAATCCTCCCAAGCAAAGGGTGGAAAAAATGTCTCCCAAACCCCACTAGTATTTACATGTTTTTAATTCCAAACACCATATAAGGCTATTCAGCCGTTATATTTTAGTGTAGCTTCTAAATGAATGAAAACCATTTATCACTTAGAAAAAAAACACGTTAAGAATCTTATTAACTTCATAGTCAAACACAGACAGGTAATATTATCTATTATAGCAACATTTCACGGCATCACAGCTGTGCTACGCTTTGGATTTTCACGCTCTTAAACCTGTGCATCTTGAGAAACATATGCACAAACTAGCACACCGATTCGATAATTTTCATTAATGTCCACTAATCCTGGCAAATAGTTTACAGCCTTTCTTTCCCCCGTCAGAACAGGCGGTTTATGGCCAGAATATCTGCACGTGGATAAAAACAGAAGTCCATTTGTAAAGAAGAAAGATAGCTTCTACCAAAAGAAAGGGGACCGCGAAGACAGTGTTTACTTAAGGCAAACCAACAAAGCCGTACTAGAAGATGACACCTCACCTTCGCAACCAGAGGAGAAAAGAGACTTACAGAGTTCCTGCGAATCGTGATTCTCGCGGAACAGGAACCGTACCTGCATAATCTGTTCTTGCGTAATGCCCATCTTCCGATTTTGTGGTTGTTGTAGTGTTATCTGTGTGAAGAGAAAGACGGTGAATTGCCTGGGGAGCCCGTACTGGACACAGACTATGTCCCGGCCTCCAGCGCCCAGGCAAGCGTCGCTTCGCTTGCAGGGCAGCATCGTTGTGGGCTGCAAGGCTCCCCTGGGTCTGCCAGGTGAAAACAGCAGGAGCCGGCTTTTTGGAATGAAACATGAAACATCTTCCATTAAGTAAACACATTTTTTTTCCTAACAATATGTGATAACAGATTGCAGCTGGGATAAGTATATCAGTGTGAAGCAGGAGTTGTCATTTCTGCTCTATTTGAAGTGATTGGGGAGTTCTAATATGTACCCTGAAATGAACTGCCACACGGGGTGGTTAACTTTAAAGAGGTAGAAATAAACTAGAATGTGTTTAATACACCTGTATAGTATGGACTTGTAAGGAGATGTACGGAGGATTTATAGGTCAGAAGCTAAGGGGAAAAAAGCTATTAAGAGTCCGAGCCTCAGCAGACCCTTTATTTACGGGAGCTATTTAAAGGCAAATTTTCTTCATTTTTATTTTAGAACAAAATTGATTATTTCAAGTCAGCTCAAGGGTTACAGGTGATGCAGTAGCCCATAACCTGGGTGCGGAGAAGTATGGGATTCACAGAGAAGCACAGAGCTGCTGTTGGCAGAATTTCCTTCCAGGCACCCTTGGCTTCTCATGGTCGCACGAGAAACACGCACCAGCGCTGTGTTTGGGAGCACGTCCGAGATCGCTACGTCCTGCTCCGGCCAAGGGAGCAACAGCGGATCCACCCCGGGGGGCAAAGCGCATCCGAGGGGCTCTCCCGCTGCCCTGCTCCGACCCCCAGCCGGAGGGCAGAGCTCTGGGTACGCTGCTCCGGGCAAAATCCAGACCCCCCGATCCCGACACCGGCGCGGGGCTGGCCGGACCGCAGGCAGGGTGTGGGAAGGGTGATGCACCCCACTCCTCACTTGGCACCGGTACCACGGAGGGCTCCGCGCCCGCCCGCAGCCTGCGCACCACGGTGTGGACTGCCAGAGTCTAATGGAAAAGCGAGATGCGCCAAGTAAGAACCCAGCCCTGGTTCTTTTTTTTTTTCCCCCGAACAAAAATTGAAAACATTCTTTGAAATGAGTTTTGTTATGAGAGTTACCTTGACATCGACCCAAAGACATGACTTCAATTTTCTCCTGTTTCTGGCATGATGCCTCTTTGATTTGACATGCGTTATCATAAGATTTCCCATCGGAAGCACAAAGAGGATTGAAGTTGGTTTGAGAACAGTCAATGTTGCACACACACCTGAAAAGATACAGCAAGAGAAAAAAGCAGAGGCTAATATGAGAAAGTTTCTTCACGACACCGTAAATGCATCTCAGAAATAAAAGCGTTTGGATTTTCCTGACTGCACATTGCAAATCAACAGAATGAAAGCGCAAAGTTCTGCCGAGGGGTCATCTGTATTTCTGGATGGAAATGAAATGCGGGGAGAGGGAAGAGACACGGAGAAGAAAAGCCAGCAAAAGGGAAGATAAAAAAGAGTGTTCAACACGGAAAACTCTGCCACAGCAGTACCACTTCTAACTTCTCATAAACCACAGAACACCCAAGCAGATAATTCAAGCCTTCTCCTTTTGCAATTAAAGAAGCCACAAAATTCACCTCTGTTGAGGTGCTGCCCATCAAACGTGGTTTTATGTGATGTAGGATTTCATACCGGTAACAATCACAGCACCTACAGGCACTCTGATGATAATAAACGACGCGATCCTGAAGCCTCATCTCACTCACCCGCCAAGACTGTGACGCGACTGCGCTCGCGGTGCCCCGGGGTGGTGGGATCTCCCCGGCTCCTGGGGCCTGCTCAGTGGTAAAACCCGCGGAACGCCAGGTTTAGGACACACTTTGTGTGCAGGCACTTTCTGAAGTATTTGAGTATGGCCTCAGGTTGCACAAGGGGAGGTTGAGATTGGATATGAGGAAAAATTTCTTTACTGAAAGAGTTGTGAAGCATTGGACCGGGCTGCCCAGGGTGGTGGTGGAGTCCCCATCCCTGGAGGGGTTCAAAAAACGTGTACGTGTGGCACTTCGGGACATGGTTTAGCAGGCATGGTGGTGTTGGGGTAATGGTTGGCCTTGAGGATCCTATCTTAATGATTCTATGATTACCTCGGCAACCCCAAAGCCTCACCCAGGTGTCACCCAGGCAGGTCAGTGCCCACTCCTGACCTGGCGCCGAGCTCTGTATGGGGTGAAGGCTCCCGTGGCTGGGAGCAGAGCGTGGGCACGTGTGGGCAGGGCAGCAGTGGCCCTGTCCTCAGGGAGCTTAGGGGCATCTCCAGAGCCGCAACGACCCAGCTCCGGAGCTCCTAGGCTGCCCAGAGACGTGAACCGAAGCACGGGAGGGAATTCACGTCAAAAGTCTGGTCTGGATCTGAACCAACACACCAACGTGGACACGTCCCGATCCCAGCAAGGCTCGTGATCGCTCACAAGATGGAGAAACCTACTTACTTCCATCAACAGCAGGCTGCAGCCTTTTTTTTTCATTCGGTTTCTCCTATTTCGTTATGTTCAGCGATGTCGGACACCCCTGGGCATCGGCAAGGGGAAGCCATGCTAATCTTCTGTCCCCCGACCGTGCCGTGGAACAGACAGCTCAGCCTCAGCAACGCCTGCGTTAACACCGATGCGATCGTGCCCGGGGACAGAGCCAGAGGTCTAACCCGGCAGCTGCTTCAGCTCTTTCCAGCACGTAATGGTGCACGTGCTATCTAAACTCCTTCACTAAACTCTAAACACGACCGATGCTCTATCTCCAGCCCACCGGCCGCGCTGAACCTCGCCGCGCCGACTCTGCGGCTCTCCCTTCGGGAAGTTCAGGGAGGGAAATGTCAGCCTCCGGCA